TTTTTTTTTTTTTTTTTTTTTTGGTTTCCATTATATTTTCATTTATTTGCCTTTAAATTCGTAAAACGATGTTGAAGAAGAAGCGAAGAAGTATCTTTTTTTTGTTTCTCCTTTACCTACGAATCGTTTTTTTTTTTTGGTTTTTTCAGGTGCGATTTTTTTGTTGTCAATTTTTTGTTTAGTATTTTCATATTTTTTCCCCTTGGTCATTTAGTTCTGCTCTCATTTGTGTTTTTACCTGCCCTCAGTTGTGTTTTTATTGTTCGTGTTGTTTCTTCGATTGCGTCTTTTTGTTTTTTTCGTTGTAGTTTCTATAGTGTTTAATTAGGGTAAGGAGATAGTGATAGAGAAATAATTTATTATTATTATTATTATTATTATTGTGGTTAGTATTATAAAATTGACACACATTGGTTCTTTCTTCTTGGTGAGAATTAACTGCATATTTCAACGAGAAAAGGCAATAAAGAGAAGTGTGGAAAAATAGAGGACTTTCTAGTACGTTAGTAAGTAAAGAGGAAGGTTGTTTTTTTTTTTCCTTCTTTTCCGTGTTTGTTTGCGTGGATACGTGAATAGTTGTGTGGAACTGCAAATAGGTTTGCTTTTCAGTGGAAAGTCCAAAAGGGAAAGTGTGATCTTCGTTATCTATTAGCAGTATATAGATACATTGAACGTGTTTATATATANTTTTCCCTGGTGGTGTATGTTTTAATTTTGACGTATTTCTATCCTGTCTGATTTCATGCGTGTCGTGTTTGCACGACATGGTATATAAAGTGCAATCTACATGCCTTTACTGTACTGTTTACAGGTATGCATTTTAAAATGAGGGATGTATTTGAGGAGAGAAATGTAGGAAATCGTCTCATGTACCGATAAGTGTACCAATGCAGTCCCTATTAGTAGCGAGAATGCACTTGCAAACATATAAACAGTTGGGGTGACGTAAAGCTGAAGGGCAGAAATAACTCGACCAGGTACGAATGGGTTTGCTTTTTTCAGTGTCAGCGGTGCGAGTTTTTTTGTTTATTTTTATTTTGTAAGGTTTGGTGTTTTTTTGTTAGTGTGAGGTTTTTTTTTTTTGTTTTCCATTATATGTTCATTTATGTGCCTTTAAATTCTTAAAACGATGTTGAAGAAGAAGCGAATAAGTATTTTTTTTTTTT